GTGTTGTGTTGTGTTGTGTTGTGTTGTGTTGTGTTGTGTTGTGTTGTGTTGTGTTGTGTTGTGTTGTGTTGTGTTGTGTTATGTTATTTTATGTCATGTTATGTTGACCAAAACCACGGTATAGTTTATTTAGTAGGCCTTGTATGCGATTATATTGGGCTACCAATTTTTTTCCGTAGTCGTAATGACAATTTCAGGTCCATTCAATAACTTTTCCAGTAAGTACTTCCAGACAGGCCGTACAAGAAAAATAGAGAGTAAAATAGAGGAGGATAAAATTATCAGCTGGTAAAAACTTAGAACTTAGTTATTTTGACACTTTCTGATGGTTAAGTTTCATCGCGCAATTTTCTTTTTCTTGGGAGTAATTCCAATCGTCATAAAAATCAAAAAACTATATATTAGATTTCAATTGTTCATCTATATTCTCATTTCACTAATTTTGTTTTATCAAATCATCCTCTTAACCACTTTGTTTACATTTGAATTTGAAACATAACCATATTTTTTAACACCTGCAACTTCCTGCTAGTAAAGTTTTTACTTGCAAGAATTAGTTGCGTTCCAGATGCTTCACGATTTGCAGGTTTTACAGGATTTGCTTTTTTCAGCGGATTGTTACGTTCTCTAACTCGCTCTCTCTTGCAAATTTTTTGGGTTATTGCATTTCCAGTAAAAACTTGCAAGTAATGGTAAAAATTCTTCAATTATTACAAAAAGGCACTAGCGCAGAAAAGTTTGTAACATAAAATACGAACTAGTAACGACGACTTTTTCTTTCCCCATATCAGTTAGCATCTTAGCACACACTTTATCCAATCGGACATTTCAATTTCGATAACATTATCTTGATTATGGTCCTTGCGTTGAAAGTAGTCGAATGCGGCAGTCAAATGCAGCACTGCCGAGGCGAAATCACTCAATCGCAAAGTGCCATCTTTCCGAATATAGCGTTGCATCAGACAGTTCATAATCTCGGTGCTTAACTGGAATCCGACATCATAGAGCGCATCACGCAATCTTTCGGCACGTAAAACACCAGCCTTTTCCTTTGTGTAAATTTTAAATACACCTTGCCATGATTTCAAATTTACCATAAACGTTTTGAATTGCAGGAAGTTGATGCGACCGGTGCCAGTCTTGTCTTGCAATGCAATCACCTGACGACAGATATCGATGTTGGCACAACCTTTGATGTAATCGTTGGGCAAACACGCCTCCAGCAGTTCGTGTAGTTCAAAACAGTTGATTGTTTTATTCTCGTCTGCCAGCTGCATGAACACTGGCTCATATTGGCATACATTTTTGATTTTAGTTGTTTCAACTTCGTTCTTGAGTGCTGGGAAGGGGTCGAGTAGCATCATGGTTTGTGTTTCAAGCAGCGATAGACGCAAAGGAGCAGTACCCAAGAAGCGTACAGTGAAGCTAGACTCTTCGCCAGGCTCGTAGGTGGTTGGCATGAGCACATATTGGCCTACTTCCAGCTGACAGCGATAGCTGACGTGCCGTGTGTTGCCGTAATCGGAGTTCAGGAAGCTAACCTGAGTTTTGAAGAACTCTTTGGGTAGGCATTCGCTGAACTTTCCCTTGCCGCCATTCGCTGCACCACTTAATTTGTACATTGAAAATCCTATGACTTTCGGTTCAACAGCTGTGTGTTGGTTTAAAGCCACCACAATTTCCTGCTTTTCTTGAATATTCAACAGCAGTTGTGGATTTATGTGAAATGATTCATGATTTCGGCAACCACCTGCTGTGACACCACGCTTCCATTGGCCCTGGAACATTTTCATTTGCCAACGCTTTGGTCGATCTTGTAATGTGAGCTCGTCTTTGGCTGTATCGGCGTCAAGATAGATGCATTCGAGGCTGGTGTACGTCTGTGTGAATTCAAGGAAAGACATCCAGAATTCACCAACGTCGAGTTGGCCAAAGAGGCGGTCACGTTCTTGCAGCGAAACACGCTCCCACGATGGAGACATTGCTGACCAGTCGCCTTCAAATGTAGCATTGTTATCGAAAGCGTTGCAGGAAAGTGGATCTTTCAAACGCACCAACTGCACTGCATCTCCCAACAGCGTTTCCACTTTGTCCAGAGACGAAAGTCTGCCCAAAACAAAAATAAATATATATCAATGATTTCAAGAAACGGTTTTAGCAATTCTATTGGTGTGCACTAAATTGTACGATACGTATTAGTACGGCAACACAAGTCCGCCTACGCACTCGCTCACTCACCTGTAGTTGACATTGAACGTAATGCCATTCGCTAGTCGCTCAGATGTATTTTTGTGCTGCCCAGCAGCAGCGCCGCCAGCAGCAACAATGCAAGTAACAATGCAGGTGGTTTCCAGATGTGATTTTAGTTGCTGCGGTCTCAGCATATCTGTAGCATTGGTGCCCGTTTTAAGGGGTATGCACTCGACTACACCACCAAGCAGATCACTGAGACCATCGGAACGTGTGCCATATTTTAGTGCTTCATAAGATCCATGCAATTTGGCAATAGCCTTTTCCAGCAGTGAAGCCCAATAACAATGTGAGGCTTGTGGCTGCAAAAATGCGAGACGACCATTTATTGTGGGCAGACGATCGTCCACAAGCACTTCCACCCACTCGCCGCACCACCAAAGTCGAAAGCGAAAAACACCGTTTGCTTTGTCTAGACTTTGATCTGCAGGCACCACGCGGTAGAATAGATTGCGTAGCGAATGCAACACGCCCAGGCATGACACCAACCAACGATCGCCCATTTTTCCAGGAATGACGTCAAAGTTCTCACCTTCATTTACAAAGCACGCCTGCTGTGCATCGGCGAACTCTGCAATGCGGCGCCATTGGAAAGTGAAGGGTGGAGTTTGGTAATAGAAAACTGACGATTGCACAGCTGCGAAATCTGGGTCCTCCCACAGGACTTTGCGCGCGACACACTCAGCTTTGATACGCTCATATCGTGAGGTCATTGTGATGAGTTACAAATTTCACAAACACCTGTTGACTTCATGCAATTAACAAATACTACAAAGTGCCACCGCGACCACTTGTTGCTGATTGTTGTGTGCTCCTAAAAATCCAATTGGAGGTAGTGCAACAACAAGCACATTTAATTTTAATACTCCCTGTTTGCAAACACTTGGCTTCTTGCAGATCCACACATCAACTTTTAATAAATAGTTTATGGACTAGCCGCTACAAAATTGGTAAGAATTCTAATATTCTTAACGCGTACGCCTTATTTTTGGAGTTCTTTTCCGTTGACCTTGTTTGATTGAATTCCACGATCAAGTCGATATNACAAAATTGGTAAGAATTCTAATATTCTTAACGCGTACGCCTTATTTTTGGAGTTCTTTTCCGTTGACCTTGTTTGATTGAATTCCACAATCAAGTCGATATCAAATGTGCACACACGGCGGATTCGACAACAAAGTGAAAGTTGAAACAAAAAAATTAAAGCAGAAACATGGAAGAGGAAAAGAAAACAAACTGGTGTAAAATATTGGGCAAAATGTGCGCCTGCGCAATTGGCTAAAACGTAAACTGCAAATAAACACAAAATACAACTACAACATGCTGGCTGAAATTGAGACTGGTAGAGAAAGAAGGAAATGGTAAAAATATGCAGGGTTGCATTTGCAATATAGTAGAAGAAGTCTTCAAGGGCAGTTTTATGCCAACATTTTTATAAAAAATTTATTGTTTAAATGTTCCCATAAAGTAAAAATTTTAACTGGCATAAGTCTCGGTTACGAATTTGTTTATTATTTTATTTTAATGTGGACTGTAAAATCATGTATTGGTAATGTTGAAGAGCGAAAAACACCGCACAAGCGTCTTGTCAAACATAGCGAAAATTCCCTTTAGCTCAAACATGTTGTGTGGTGTATAGGGGGTGCTTTAGGGTTTGACAAGCTGTTTGAGGGAAATTGAACAAAAATTGAATTTTTTTTATTTTTGACCGTCCTGTTGAAATTTGATCAAACCGCTTGTGTTTGGTATGGATGGCATCATTTGAAATTTTCACCGGAAGAAAACTAAAATTATCCGCATGAACGAGCCTTGTTTGTATGATGTATGGCGAAATGGGAAAAGTAGGTTTGAAGTATGCTTCATGAACGAAAGACCCAAGATCACGCGGGAAGGAAAAAACGAAAAAAGTTATTTTCTAGCTGCC